TCTTCAGGAAATAACTTTCCTTTTTGCTGTTTAATCTTCTGCATTAGATCTCCTCCCTCACAATATTCCATCACAATATACAGATGTCCTTCAGCTAAAACAAATACAAGACTCAGTTGGAGAGCCAGAGAAACTATAAATCAAATTAAGGAGTGGTCATATCTGGAAGGTTCATATTTACCTTCAAACGATTCTTGAAAGGCCACAATATTGGGGTGTTTCATTTTGGCTAACAGAATAGCCTCCCTCCTAGAATTCTGTGAACCAGAGAAAGACTGGGAAAAAGTTCAAACAAGAGTAATTTAATATTGAATTTTAAAATCTACTCCACACTACTATTCAGTGTAGTTTGTACAAGTCAGCATTGTGTGCAGGTTTATAAAACTGTACTTTGACTTCAAAACAAAGTACAAGATTTTTCAACTATGCCTATGCCTCTTGCATGCTTAAGCTGATCATTTCATTGTTTTGTGCTGTTTTTCGATTTCTTGAACTTAGAGAATATAAACTATAGGCTGGGAAGGTAGCTCAGGGGTAGAGTGCTTGCCTTGCATGCATGAGGCCCTGGGTTTGATTCCTCAGTACCACATGAGCAGAAAAAGTCAGAAGTGGCTCTGTGGCTCAAGTGGTAGAGTGCTAGCCTTGAACTGAAGAGCTGAGGGACAGCACCCAGGCTGATTTTAGCACCCATGACCAACAAAAAAAAAAAAAAAAGAGAGAGAGAGAGATAGAGAATATAAACTAGTCTTAATATTTGCATAAGCATCATTTGACTTGGAAAGCCAGGTATGCCACTGAAAATAGTGTATCCTAAAAGAAAAGCCAGGGATTTTGTATGGTTAATGTCAGGATTACTTTAACAGCCACTGGCCCAGATAAAAAGAATATAACCAGAGGATAGACAAAAGCAATAATGAAAAGTAAGTAATGATCCTTAATTTATGAGAAATGGAATTTTGAGACTTAGCTTATAATCAAGAAACTGCCACAGGGCCTGGAGGTATAATATAGCTTACTGGGAGAGTGCTTTCCTAGCATTTGTATAGTTCTGACTTAGAGCCACAGCAAAAGAAAGAAGGAAAGAAGAAAGGGAGGAAGGAAGGGATAAAGAAAGGAATGGAGGGAAGAAAATGGAGAAAGGAAAATGAGGCAAGGAAGGCAGGCAGGCAGGAAGAAAGGAAGGGAGGAAGAGAAGGAGGGAAACTAACTTCAGCACAAAACCTTTGAGACCAGCAGTATCAACAATTTAGAACATGTTAAAAATGCAAATTATAATGCCTACTCAAATTTATATCCAAAGGCAGTAGGAAAAATGCTTCACACTATGGGAACTTTATTAAAATATAGTTTAAAAAAACCTATTAAACAATCTCCACAATATGGGCTCACTCATCAAAAAACTACAATACATATCAATAATTAGGATGCAGGGAATTAAGACCTATAAACTAATCCACAGAGTACATTTTCTCCCAAGGTTTGTATTTTAATTTTTTGTTCTTCACTAGATATTTACATTCTTTCATTCATCAATAATACTGCACCTGAGTTGCTTGTGGTAAAGATTTCCTACACTGCTAGGCATATGAAACTAGAAATTATAACCAACTAACACACTGAGATAAAATAAACCGTATATATGGGCAATTTTTCACTTTCATTAATTATACCATCCTAAGAACTCTATAAACTATATCAAGCCCTTATAAAGCTAATGAGTAAAGTGATGACAGAGGTCACAGAAAGAAGAAAAGGAATGTTAACTCCCAAGAACATGCCTACAAATTGCAAGTTCACTGTCAGTGTAAGGTATGAACATTAGTAGTAACCTTAGGAAGCCTTATTTCTTTCATGGCAAACATCTGACTTCTGCTTTCCTGCCGAACCAAAAGAGCCCTTCCAAAGGAGCCCTCGCCGATCACTCTCAGGACTCTGTAGTCATCCATGCTGGGTCCCTGCAGATGGGCAGCTGGCTCCACTCCAAAAGTTCTCATCAGATCTCCTAAAATCATTAAACACAGAAACATGTGTCAGCTTCCTGGTATTCATTTTGTAAACTCTTAAGTTGTTCTAAGGAGTTAAACCATGGGAATCCACCCCTGCTATATACCAGTTAATCAGTCTGTATATATATTCACATGACACTCTACACATTTACAAATGTTTATAATTTAGGTCTAACTTTTACATATGAGAGAAACCATGTGCCCTTTGTCTCTGAGCCTGACTTACTTCACTTATTTTTTCCAGGTTCATCCATTTCTCTGCAAACAACATAATATTCTTTCTGATGGCTGAGTAAAATTCCATTCTATGTACATATATACATGTCAGTTTATGACTATAATGTAACTTGATCAGTGCTGTCATGTTACCGCTTCCACCATCCTCTCCCATATCTTCTAACTCCACCTTCTCTACAAGTTACCTGGTACTATTTTCACCTTTGTACATTGAATATTAAGACTGCATTTGTACTCTCTTCCTCTATTTGTCTGCCCTCCCTCCTTTTTAACTATATATTATATACAGGTCAAATATATATGCATATGTCAAAATATATATCAAATATATACACCAAATACATATATGTATATATAAATGTGTATGTGTATAGATGTAGGTGTATACATATATTATATGTGATTACATTTGGTCCTTTCTGCCACATTTATTCCCACCCACCATCCCCCTTACTCAGTATTACAGCCAATAATATGTAGGCCTGAATAAAATTTGGCAAAGTAGGTTGCATATGCATATATATTTATATACACAATATATTACACAAGTATATACATATATGGACATGTGATATATGAATATTTTGTATATAGTATATACAGGAATCTATTCTGTATATAACATATATTAAAATTATTATGCCCACATACATACAGTATATATAAAGTGATTGGCAATTGTCCCCATCACAAATGAGGCAGATCTCGCTAGGAGTGCACACGGTAATGCATCCACGAGAGTAGGTACTCAAGTTTCCCTAAACTTGAACTCCAGCTCCGCACAGCCCGTCCAGTTCTACCCGCACCCGCGCGCAGCGGCACACACCCCCGCGCCCTATGGAGACGCACCCCTACGGCAGGTTCACCGGTGGGAGCAAAGAGCGGGCAGGCCCAACAGAAAAGCGGCGCCGGCCCAACGTCCTGAACCCCTGTCCCATTCGCCCCAAACCCGTGCGCGCCACCCCAAATCCCAGGCTCCCGCCGGGCCGCCCTTTCCCCACCACGTCCCCGAGGCGGGTAGTGGGGCCCAGGCCTCTCCTCATACACCTCCAGGACGCTCGCGTCAGCTCCACCCTAGGCAGGAGCGCTTCCGTGGGGCGGGCCCAGATGGGTCGTCTCTCTGGTTGTCAGCTTAAGGAGGCCGCTAGGATGCAGCGGGAGGTGCTGTTTTCTGAGTGGCCGGGCTTATGAAGAGCACGTTTTAAAGCAGTTGTTCTTACACTGCTTACAATGCTAATAATTTGAGGCAAAGTGGCCCCTGGTAACTGTGGCAAGTAGCCCAGGTATAGATGTTTCCTGGAGACAATGTCACTTCTAGCACGTACTAGCTTGGGCAAATGTGGAAGGCAGAATTCATGTCCACTCTCCATCCCTCGAGATGGCTACTCACTGAAACCTCTGCATTTGTTCCCTTACATGGCAAAGGGATATTAAGGTTGCAGTTGCCAGGCATGGTGGCACACACCAGTAATCCTAGCACTCCTGAGGCTAGCTACTAACTTGATCTCAAGTTTGAGGTCAGTCTGTGTTATATAGCAAGAAGCTGTCAAGAAAGGGAGGGGGAGGGGGAGGAAGGGAGGGAAGGAAAAGAACGATTACAACTGGTATTACAATTTGTACAAGAAATTTAAAAAGAAAAAGCAGACTGAGATGCTCCCCAAATATTAGGTTGAAAGGACCTAACTTTTTCCAGGTTTCAATCATATCTGTCTGCTTCAGAGAATTCCTGACTCCATGTTGCTGGACTATTTTAAATTACACAGGTAGTTAGCAGTCTGTTCTTGGTGCTGAACTAGAAGGTTACAATGGGAAAAGAGCATTTGAGGAACTACAGGTCTAAATAGTTGTAAGATCTCTGAAGGAAACAGTTCTTGATTTTATCAAGGTCCATGCTGTGGCCCAGAAATCAGTTGCTGAAACAGGAGGCAAAGTTCACTGGGCTGAGGGAGGTGACAGAGAAGTCACTAAATAGCATTAATAGAGAGGAGAACACAGTAATGTTTCCTCTCAAGGTTTCTCAGCCTCGGCATTGTTGACATTTAGGGGCATATAATTCTTCATTACAATGTGCATGCCTCTGTGTGTGTGTGTATATGTGTGTCCTGTGTATCACAGTATGTTTAGCAGTATTCTGTTGCCTTGTTTTTTTTTTTTTGTCTTTTGTAGTTTTTTTTTCCAGGGCTGAGGACCGAACCCAGAGCCTTGCGCCCTTTCGCTGGGCTAAACCCTCAGCCCCTGTTTAGCAGTATTCTAGATGCCAGTGGTACTAACTACCCCCCACCCCCCAGTCTTGACTACCAAATGTCTCCAGTCTGTGTTCAGGACAGAAATGATGTAGCATGAATCGCTTGTGGTTGAGAACCATTAGTCTAATACTCTGAACTTCAGATGAAGGTGTGGGATGACATTGTACTCAGTGGTAGAGCATAGGCTTGGCATGAAGCCCTTTAACCTCACACCACACACAAAAAAGAAATTAAAATCTTACAATGCATTTCAAAGGCAAAGTTCAAATTCATTCACTTTAAATGGCATTTTACAAACTGTTTTTATGGTGCTGAGGATCAAATCTAGGGCCTTTCTATACACTAAACAAATGGCATACCACTGATCCATATTCCCAGCTCTCATAAAATGTCATTGCAATCAGTGTCATTGTACCTGAGAATGTAGCTAATTGGATCAAGTCACAGTACACTGGGTTCAAGTCACAGCACCCACCAAAAAACCCAAGAAACAAAACAAAGGACATTAGAATATCATTACAGGTATTTTTATTGTATAAGTATATATTGGGTACATTAAGAATAAAATCCTATTCACTAGAACATAAATTGGTAGTAAAGTTATTACACAAATGAAATGAATATAAAGATTCATATTACAGTTACTAATATCATCTTTACAGTTCACTTATTTGAAACTATAGAATTGTTAGAAGACGTGTATCATTTTAGTGTTAGATTAAGGCCTTATAAAACAAATTTTATTGGTGGTATTTAGCAGAAAACTTGTGACAAGTCATGTCTCAAACAAACATTATTTAACAGTGACATTTTTATATTATGAAGAAAACAACTGGTTGTTTTCTTACAATAACTCCATTCTAATACAGATCCATTTAGCTTTAAATGAAGCTAAATAGAGGTTAAAATGTTGACATTAACATAGTCAAGCTTCAAAGGAAAGGACTAGACTTTGACACTTCATCTTTCTTATACAGGTAACTTCCTCTTAGAAATGGGGTAATTAACTTTTCTTTGAAACCTCAGTTTTGATGAAAAAATGGAGGTCGAGGCCACAGATGCCTGCTCACTGCCATAGATGCACACTCACTGCCTCAGATGCACACTCACTGCCAGATGCATGTTGTTACAGATGAGTGTCCACTGCTACATGCACACTCATTGCCATGGATGCACACTCACTGCTATAAGATGCACACTGTCACAGATGCATGCAATCTGTCACAGATGCACAGTCACTGCTATAAGATGCACAATATCACAGATGCACACTCACTCCCACGGACACAAAGTGACAGTGAAGAACCACAGGCAGTTCAAAGGACACAACAGTCTAGGAAATGCGAGTCTGGTAGGAAAATAAACTAAACCCTTTGTCTTAATGTTACTTTTTGGGGGTATTTTTATTGTTAGGGTTGAACTCAGAGCCTGAGACATGTTCCGTAGGTACGCACTCTACCACTGAGCTCCATTCCAGGCCTCAGTTTTTTACTTCCATATTAAAGATAGGCAAAAAAAGCTGTTGCTATTTTATTTAGACAGGTGTGTCAAGCTTTTAAAACATGACAATATGAAATATACATTTTATCTCGAATACCTCACTTTCTGATAATGTACCATTACTTATACTTAATAAAGTGAAGAAGCAAACATTAGGAACACAGCAAATAAGCTGACAAAATGGAGCTATATTAAAGAAAATCTCACTCTGATGAGACTGACAACATAGGATAGCTTTGCAACACCAAAAAGGCAACTCCTTTATTCCTTTGTAACATGAATATTAATAAAGGAAATCATTGCTATGAATACTAGAATAAAGGTAGTTGATTAAGTCCAGACCAAAGAATACTTAGAATAAAACTACTCCAGGAAGAACAAAACCCCTCATTCTTCATGGATGCTTTATCTCATCTGTGGTTTCAGTCTCAGAGAACATAGGAAACAATGCTGTATTGGGACGACATAAAAAAGCATCAGTTTCACCCCCTAACTCTGATAACTGTTCTAGTGAAGACACACAAGGATAATGGTCTTTTAACATATCTGGCAACTTAGAAGTCTTCTCTTGAAGGCGTCTGGAACGTCTTACTGGTGTTAGAAACTTTAGATCTTTAAATGCAGAACTTGTTTCATCAAGTTGCATCTTCTTTTTTATACTGAAATACAAAAATGATTCTCTAAATTCAAAAGCATGATAACAGATTCTTTGTACCTCTGTGCTATTAATCATACTTTAACTTGTATGTCATAGGTATGTGCTTGTTTGTCTTAGAGAAAGGGAGAGGTATTGAATGTTCCTTTAAGTGAGGAACATATGCTTTCCTCTCGATTTATTGTTATAACTAGCACATAGTATGGTTGAGTATGCAGAATCCTCTAATTCCTTAGCTATAAAACCAACTGTTATTAATTCATAATATAGAAATTAAAGTAGAATTGCACAATTTTTTTCACTATGGCAATATTTAGTGAAAAGGAAAGCCATAAAATATTTAAAATGTTAAATTTCCCAATGATATTCCATTTATTTGAAATTTTTCCTATAGTAACAAATAGTAATTATAATCTGAAGTAATCCCTCATCTATTGCATAAGTGACATTCTAGAGGGCACCCTTCCCACCCCCACCTTCATCCCCGCCTCTGTGATAGATGAAAATCCTCAAAGTAACAGCATTAGATAGTCATCCCTTACTATGTCACAGTTCACTTATTGCTACTTTGGGTATTTTACCTATTGCAGGGGGCTCTTGATTGTAGCTTCCGTGATAAGTAGGGATTACAATTTACTTTTTTTTTGTTTTAAACCTGTGATACAGTGAAGCCACAATAAGTGAACCATGATATAGCAAGAGTCTGTGAAGACTTTAATATATCACATTTTAAAGCAAGCCCTTGCTTGCCTAAGGCCCTGAATTTGTTCCCTAGCACAGATTAACAACAATAAAAAAATTATCTTTCAGCATAAAAACAAATCAAATCACATTAAGTTTTAAAAGTTTACCTTTGCAAGTATGGTGTTGTAGATATATTATATTTAATAAAGCAACTTCCTCCCGTTTCTGTTTCAGGGGTACTGAAATCATTAGTTGTTTCTTTTGTTTTGTGGTCTTGTTCTTTCTCATCATCTTTACACAGCATTTCTCTATTACACTTATTCTCCCCTTCCGGATTTTCTGGCTCTAGATCAACCACTTTATCTTCAACGTAGATTTCTTGGATTTGTTCATTGGTTACATGAGTCTCCTTGGTATTTTCTCCTATAGAAACACATTTATAGATTTAAGCTTTTGGTCAAATTTTCAAAATAAAAGAACCAAACTATGTCTCATTACTTTTCCTGAATAAATACTGCTAACAGCTAACAAATATTTACTATCTTCTATGTATAGAGATCATAAGACAAATGTAAGACTTAAGTCATCCCTATCCTTAAGGTTTCATTTCATGAAAGAGACACGATTTAAAACAATTTATATGAATGAAGTATTTGTAAATGAAGTAAAACCAAAGAGTTATTGGAACCTATAAAAAGAAACTAACTGCTTATGGTATAGGGAAATGTTTAGGAAAAACTTTGACTGGGTCTTGAAAAATGAGCATCTGACAAACCCAAGGAAGATAATCTTGTAATGAAACATGAAATAAATTTATCTATCAAGATAGTAATAAGCCAATATATTTAGAATATAGGGTAAGGAACAAGATGGAAATGTGGAGAGGTGGTAAAGAGTTCAGATAGGTAGATAGGAATTAGACTATGATGAACTCTATATGTAAAAAATTTGGCAAAAAAATGCATTGTAAATATACAATAAAATTTGGTTGATATACAGAACTGTCCAGAATGGCAAGGAGTAATACATGATGGCAAGAAGATGTAGCTGTTACAATAGAATAAGCAAGTTATTAGAGGTTAGGATAGGAAGGCCCAATGTGAGAAATATTTGAGTCACGGATGCACATCTATGTCTGAATGGGTATGCACGAGTATGAGTGGTACCCTTCTAAAATTTCTTGAGTAGGAGTCATTAATGCCAGAAGAGGGCTTACCTTTCCTCCTTTCCCCTGTTCTTTCTATTATCTCCCTCCCTCCCTCCCTCTCTTTCTCCCTTCTTCTGACAAAAGGATGATAAAAAGGGGCAAACGATAAGAAAAGACAAAGTTCAAAATAAGACATGTTAAATTTGAAATTCTTGAGTCAGCAAATCTCATTATTTTGAAAAGACCACTGAATCTAGTTATTAGTAAAATCATTCTAAGTTTTTAATAAGAGATGTTTTAGTTATACATTTAGTGAGTAGAAATTGAAGTAAGAAAAGAGAAAATATAGGTCCATTAATTCAGCAAATACTTGTGTTTGATATATACCAGGCATTGGATCAGCACTGAGGTTCCAATGGTCAGGAAGATTAGTGTCTTTGTCCAGAGTTTACAGTTTAGAAGATGAACAAGTAATGGAGTACATCAATGATGGCACAGGAAAAAACAATGAGTATAAAGCAGGTGTAGGTTGGGTGAGGTGAGGGGAAAGTATACAATGACAAATAGCTGGGAAAGTTTCTTTCAGGAACTGAGGTCTAGAGGGTAAGTATGAAATTAGAAAAAGTAGAAAATAGATATGGAGGGTAACGATAGTATAAATCCTTCTAGAAAAATAAAAGAAATTAAGGAATATGGAGGTGAGCCAGGACAAGAAAAGAAGTTGTAGTCAGGGACTGTGGTTCAAAGCCAGCCTGGGCAGGAAAGTCGGTGAGACTCTTATCTCCAATAAACTACTCATAAAAAGCCAACAGTGGCACTATGGCTCAAGTGGTAGAACACTAGCCTTGAACACAGAGAGGCTTAGAGACAGAGCCCTGAGTTCAAGCCCTAGGACCGGCAAAAAAAAAAAAAAGAGAGAGATGTGTTCAACTTTGAATATGTGGATTTGAAGTATCTCTGCAAGACATCCAAACTGTTTGTGTTTATTTTTACTTGTCTTATATTTCCCACTTATGCTCTCTTGTTGTTTACAATTAGCTTTGATTTGTAAAAGTGATTTTGTATTTGGGTCTTATATATTTCATGGCAGGAGATCTATCACTTGAGCCAGTATAGTTCAGAAATGTGAGAATATACTTTTTTTCATCTGAAGACTAACAAACAATCTGCTTTCTAGAAAATATTAACTAGTATTATTCTCTTAAGAAAAAAGAGAAACTGAATCAGATTTAGATACCATTTTTATCCTTCTACATATCTCTAGAGCCAGTGAAAATTATAAGGAAGAAGATTCTATTTTTCAGGTAAGTTGCTTTCCATTTTGCTAGAAGACTGAGACAAGACTAGGTTTTGTTTGTACTAGTTGTCTTTCCTGGGTTTTCTTTATACTACTTCTTCTCAAGTACTTCATTATTTATTCTTAATATTAAATCATAGCCCCTATCTTCTTCCAGGCCATATTAACAGGCCTCATAAATTGAAGTATTCCCTGTTGAACTAATTATATTGCCAATATAAGTACCATCTCCTGGAATACAGCATTATGTTAATATCATTAGCACGTTAACCCAATGATGGTTTATACACTTCAAAAAAAAAATCTTAGGGGCTGGGAAGGTGGCTCAGTAGTAGAGTGCTTGCCTGCATGAGGCCCTGGGTTCGATTCTTCAGCATCACATAAAGAGAAAAAGCCAGAAGTGACGCTGTGGCTCAAGTGGAAGAGTGCTAGCCTTGAGCTGAAGAGCTGAGGGACAGCGCCTAGGTCCAGAGTTCGGGGGTGGGGGAGTAGGGGATGGGGAGGGGATCTTAAATGTAAGCAAAACTTATGTACTAAAATCTAAAATTTTGGTATAGTTTCTGACTTTCTTTGAAGGTCAGCCCTTGACCTAGATCTCTCAAGTTTAAATTGGTTTTGTGTACTTAAAATACAGGTACTGCTATGGAAAGCAATTTGGCAGCATATATCACTAGCCTTAAAAAGTCAAGTGCAATTGTGAACAGCTCTAGACCCAACTACTTGAGGCAGAGGCAGGAAAATCACTTCATACCAAGAGTTTTTGAACAGCCTGGGAAACACAGTAAGACCCTGTCTTACAAAGAAAAAATGCAAAAATAGTTTAACTGTTTGAACTTGTTCAATCAGACAAAATGACCAGTCGCCCTCAAGATAGCATAGAAATGCACCCAAATATTTGCTGACTGAATAATGGTGTTATCAAAAATAGTCTGAAACAATTTTTCCAAACAAAGGATAATAATTAGCTGGCATTCTATATAGTGATTTCTTCTCCTAGTAAGCTAATTAATACTCATGCCTAAAATTTAATGAAATTGCAATACATCGGATATTAGCTTTATACAATTATTTCATACATCAACAACTGTTCTGACAATCCCCATTTTCCAGATAAAGGGGTTAAATGCTGGAATTTTTTAATGAGCCTTTTCAGTGTAGAATTCAGTAAGGAAAAGTCTTCTGAGATTGCCTAATAAAACTACCTTTATTTTTTTGTTTTGCAGCACTGGCAATTAAATTCATGCCCTTGAAGATGCTAAGCAAGGGCTCTACCATTCAGTTATATTACCTGCCCTAAAATGTCTACTTCTTTTTTTGTGCCAGTCCTGGGGCTTCAACTCAGGGCCTGCCTGGGTGCTGTCCCTAAGCTTCTTATGCTCAAGGCTAGCACTATGGAGACACAGACTTACCTTCAGCTTTTTCAAAGCAATTTATTGGAACTAAGAACTCACAGACTTTCCTGCCTGGGCTGGCTTTGAACCGTGATCCTCAGAGCTCAACCTCCTGAGTAGCTAGGATTACAGGTGTGAGCCACTAGTGCCTGGTTAAATTGCGCCATACTTAAGGCACAAAGAAGTAAGCAATGTTTTGTACATAGTCGATAAATGTGGATCTTATTTCCTCAATAAAAATTCATTCTATTTATTTTTTTGGCAGTACTATGGATCAATCTCAGGGCCCTGTACTTGGTAGGCTAGTTAGTACTTTACCACTTGAGTCACAGACTCCAGCTAAAATATCTTTATAATACAAAAATCCATTTTACCTCATAATCTTGATATTTTTAAAGTTAAACAAAATAGATAAAAGAAAAACTAACTCAATAAATAAATTTACTAAAATCATAATTAAGTTGAAAGAAACAAAATAAAAACTTACCCAAATTAACTTTTTCTTGACTCTTCATTGTTAAGATATTTATAATTTCATGTCGCATCTCTTCAATAGGCTTAATGTATTTTAATGAAGAAAGGAGATTTATATTTTATATTCTTAGAAAATAGGTCATGTAGGTAGAAAATATTAGGCTAGTGATTAAAACTTCACATATGTATGTATGTATGTGTGTGTTTTGTATATACTTTTTCTTTATAGTAGCACTGGGATTTGAAATCAGTGCCTGTGCTTGTTAGGTATGCAGTCTATCACTCAAACCATGCTCCTAGCCCTTCTTGCATTTGTTATTTTTCAAATAGGATCTTACTTTTGCTCTAGTCCTGTAGGACCTTGATCTTCCTTACTTAAGCTTCCCATGTAGTTGGGTATACGCCAACATATCCAACATTTATTTTGGTTGAGAGAGGGCGTTCCAAGCTTTTTTTGTCCAGGCTGGCCTCAAACCACAATCATCCCAATCTCAGCCTCCTGCGTGCCTAGGATTACAGGCACAAGCCACTACACTAGGTTTAAAATTTTATATTTTAAAATAAGACACTGGGTTTTGTTTTTTGAGGCAGGCTCTTGTTATGTAACTCAGGCTGGCCTCTGACGAGAAATACTCTTGCCTCAACTGGGATTATAGACATGTACCATCATACTTGGTTCAAGGCAGTGGTTCCTTTGACCTAAAGCACTTATTACTACTTGGAAAACTTGTTTATTTTTCCAACTTATAGGATAAAAAGCAAACTTAAACAATCGGAATTTCATATTTAAGATAATCTCCCTCAATTTTTAAGTTTTGGGTGATCACTGCTGCTTGCTTAATATGAGCTAAAATAATGAGAAGATAACAAATTAACATCATTATTACCTTTTCAAGAGCTGATTCTATTTTGGATGATACAAGAAATTACACTGAGGATTTCAGGTTTACTAGCAAAGCTCTCTATCACTTGAGCTATATCACCAATGCTTTTTTGCTTTACTTATTTATGTTTTCAGATTAGGTATTATGCTTTTGCCTGGGTTGACCTTTGATCAAGACCGTACCACCTATGTTGCCCAAATAGTTGGGATTATAGACATGTATCACCACACTGAGGTGAGGTACTACGAACTTTTGCCTGAGCTGGCTTCTAATTTTGATGTTCCTTTCTTCTCTATCTCCTGAATAGTTAGGATTATAAACATGAACCATCATATTCTGCTATATTAAGATTGGCAGCTAATGAGCTTATATTAAGTTCTGGTTATATTTTATTCACATATCATTAAAAACATCTCTGAATAGCTTAAGATTGGTTATTCCAACATGTTTCATTTAAGTCTATTATTTTCTAAATATCATAGACACTGTTTTCTTTGAGCTATTACGCTTACTACAATAGTCAAGAATATTATATAAAACAGAAGTTTTGTTTCATAATTTTAGTTCCAGAACTCAGTCTTGCTTTCAATTTTCTTGGATACTTTTAATTCTTGTTTTCCAGTTTCTGCTCTGGTATCACATTCTCTTTACTGCTTTCTATGAATCTTAGCTCCAGTTTTATATCCTTGCTATAAAGTGCTTTAAGTACTGTAGTTCTTAATATAGTAAGGCCCTAACATCCCTTGCCAACTAAAGTCTATATCACTAAACTTCAGGGAAGAGTTTTACATGGTTGCCATCCAGACACTACCTGCTAAATCTCTCCACTCCCCCAATGCTGAGGATTAAACCTAGGAACTTGTGCATGCTAATATTTGATTTTTTATTTAGGTAAAAGGTCAAATAACATTTGCAGGGCTTTGGGGGGACTAAAATTAATAGATCTTTCTAAAGAAAATCTAAAAAGGGGTAATTAAAATGATCTATGTAAGCAATTTTTAATAGTGCATTTCTTAGCTATTTGTTCTAAAGCAAACACGTTTTAGTAACATTTATCCATACAACAAAACCAAATCCCAACCAAACAAAAAACTCTTTCGAAATGACATATTCTATACACAGAGCTTTGTTTATCAGCAGCATAAAAGAGGTAAAAGGAATGGTATTCAACCATCATGGTGGCAATAGTGGTAGATACAATAGTTTATCATCTTTTCTTTTTGTTTGAGCAAGACCAACTTGTATAGTGTATAAATAAGGTTTTATTTACACATATTCCTACTTTTCTCTATAGCCATTAGGGCTTAGTAACATTTTGAAAGTTAGTTTATTTAAAATTCAGTCTCCCAGTAAATTTTTCAGCTGGACAATGAATAAAATGATGTTTTTTACTAAAATACCTATCATAGAAAATTTATTAAATTGACATTTCCACTTATATCTGTTTTGTAAGGTTTGAATATTTCTAGTAAATAAGTGAAAAATGTAGAAGACTAAAATACAATATGTACAATGCAATTCTATGGCTTTCATTTATTTTTGGTGCTAGAGATTGAACCCAGAGCCTCCAGGCTCTACTACTGAGCTATACACTTGGCTTCCATAAGGCCTTTAACATCCATTACTACTAAATAAGTACCTGACCACAATATTGTCAAGGGATATATGTTATAAAATAATTCTGAATTGTTTATACTGTAAAAATAAAGGTCAATAAATTTCGATCTCACCTGAGCTCCTGCCAGAATGGCCTTCTCATAAATTGAGATAATATTTTCAATAGGACTTGTGATTGGTTCAATACGTACAAGACATATCCAATATTTAACAAGTGTCTTGGCATCTGGAATATTTTTAATCAGGTCATTCAGTGTGACCATTATTTCTTCTTTCGGATATCCCTAAAATAGCAAGAAGTAAAGTATGTAGTATATTCTAAATAAGAACAATCAATAGTGGTGTTATAAGCAGTATCAAAGAGTGACAAAAGACAGAAAGTCATTAGGAAATTATTCATAAAAACATTCACTATAATCCTTCTAATTCCAAACTTATTCTTGATAACTAAAAAGAAGCATACACACAAGAATGTGGCAGCAAAACTGAAGTATTAGTTGAGATACATGTTAATAAAAATTAACTAACACTTTTCTTAGTTTCAATCTTTGTATTGATTGTGGGATTCTGTTTGGTAACTATTAAATGTTTGTGAGTGAGAATAGCCTAAAAGTTTCCCCATTTAACTGTCTTTGTTAGGTTTTACTATTTTGTTAAAGTGAATCTGTAGTGGTTTATGTAAGAGTTATACACAGTTAAAGATCAATATGGACAAGTTCCTTTTTTTTTTTTTGTCAGTCATGGGGCTTGAACTCTGGGCCTGGGTGCTGTCCCTCAGCTCTTCAGCTCAGGGCTAGCACTTTACCACTTGAACCACAGTGCCACTTCTGGTTTTCTGGTAGTTTATTGAAGATAAGAGTCTCACAGACTTTTGTGCCTGGGCTGGCTTTGAACCGCGACCCTCAGATCTCAGCCTCCTGAATAGCCTGGATTGCAGCTATGAGCCACCAGTGCCCAGCTTACAAGTTCCAATTTATAAAAACAAAAAAGCTTAACTAGATAAAAATAAAAATACAATCAGGGTTTTCTTGCTTGTAACTTTCATTAGTGCTCTGAAGCACAAAAGAGTAAAAGATGATCCTAAAGAGTAGAGTAAGATTTGAAATCATATCCTACTTAGTCTTGCTTTGGACCTTAGACATTGTGGGTATCCGAAACAAGATTAGAGAGTAAACAAAAAATAAAATAAAATATTCTGGAGTTGACAATACAGAGGATTTGTGTCTAAATAACAAAATTCAGTCATAAATTCAAGACCAAGAATAATATTGGTTTAAATTAATGGGATTTTGTTTGAGAATATTTTTGCGGACTTGAATCTGTGCTAATGATTCATGTAGTAATTTTTTTTTTTCAGATAAGGGATAGTTCTGAGGATTTGAACTCAGGGCCTCACACACACTTAGCTTACTTGCTCAGCTGGCTCTCTACCACTTTTACATCTTCAGCCTGGCTTTTTTCTGGTCATTTTAGAGAGGGAGTCTAGACTTTTCTTCCAGGACTGGCTTTGAACCGCAAGCTTCCAGATGTTAGGTAGCTAGGATTATAGGCTAGTTAGAGCTATAAATACTTAGCTAAATTTTTTTGTGTACCAGTGCTGGGGCTTGAATTCAGGGACTGTTGCTCTAGCTTGGCTTTTTCATTCAGGGCTGGCACTCTATCTCTTGTGCCACATATCCACATCTCCATTTCTGGCTTTTTGCTCTTTAACTGTAAGTAAGAGTCTCACAGACTTTTCTGGCTGGGCTGGCTTCAAACCTCAATTATAAGATCTTAGCATCCTGAGTAGCGAGGAATAATAATGATTTTTAATAAAAACTTGTTGCTAGACTTTAGCAAATATTTGAGTATAGAAAATAACTTGTGAATATGTTTAACAAATGCAAGAAACAGAAATATTTGAAGAGAAAGGAAATGTTACTCCAGTTTACTGGACATTAATATCTTAGAGAAATAAACCCTATTAACTTTTTGCTATTTATGGAAACAGTGCAAAACAAACTAAAGGCTGATAATGTAGCAATATTAAATCAACATATCAATGATATTAATTGGCCAAAACCATGACAATATAATTTGACAAGACAATATGTTTATGAAGATAATTTGTAAGACCATAAATTGGCTATACAATTATAAAATAAAAACTCTACCTTATTAATCAGGTTCAAGCATTCAGAAAATGTTTTGTTTACTTTTTCAGTAAATAATCTCTGTTCATCTTCTTCTGCCATTGTAGTCCAAAAAGATCCAACTAGTTTTTCCTTTTGTCCTTCAGGCTCAAGCTTGGTAATTGAGTTAGGAGGCCTTTTCAGCACTTTTCCTTTGCTGGCTCTCCACTCACTCAGACGAGCTCTACAGTCAGAAGCAGTAGATAACCATTAATTACTTTGATATTGATGTTAAAACTACCAAATTGAGAAAGTTTAAAATAATTTGAATCTCATAAATAGTTCTAAACTAGTAATCGTATACTTAGCAAGATCAATCATATGTTCAAGGGTTCCAAGAATGCATATTTAAATGAGCAAATTATATTTCCTAATTATTATTAAACAGTTTAAACAGATTACTGAAGCAAGTACTCAACTACATGAAGCATAGTCATTTTCAAGCCATATTGTCCCAGGACATATATATGACTTGTTTATGTCAGAAAAGAACACATTAAAGAACCTAATGCAGGGGCTGGGAAGGTGGCTCAGTGGTACATTGCTTGCCTTGCATGCATGAGGCCCTGGGTTCGATTCCTCAGCACCACATAAGCAGAAAAAGCCAGAAGTGGGGATGAGGCTCAAGTGGTAGAGCGCTAGTCTACAGCTGAAGAGCTGAGGGGCAGCGCCCAGGCCCAGAGTTCAAGCCCCTCGACTGACCCAAAAAAAAAAAAAAATCTAATGCACTCAAGGAAAATACATGCCATATCCACAAATGGTACTTAATTAAAAATTAAGCCCCCCTAAAAATGAAACAAATTCCATGTACTCACTTTCTTTCTTCTGCAGTTTCTTTGGGCAGAGCGGATCTATCAACAGTTGCCTTTGCTAGAGTATGCCTGCGCTGGTCAATGGTTTTTGACTTTTCTATTAGCTTGGTATTGAAAGATGGAGCAGGTCTGGCTACATTTTCTGATGCTGTGTTTCTTGTTAGTGCCTTACTTCTTTTTATGTCCTGAGAAGAGCTTGTTTTTACAGAAGATAGAACTGGTTTTGACTGTAGTGATTCTTTTTTAGGAGGCCCTTTTCGAATTGTAACACTGGTAGAGGTTCTGCTGATGCCTTGTTTCACACTGTCCTGGGTGTTACTTTGGAGATTTCTAATAAGAGGTCGCACAAGTTGTGTATTCAGAGATTTAGTGCTCACAGATTTAGTGTTCAGAGATTGAGTGGTAGTAGTCTTATTGGAGACTTTATCACTTCTCACTGTTACATTGCTGGTGTTTACAGGTTCAGGCCTTGTGGCTCTAGAGAAAGTGGATGAAAGTTTCTTTGTTGTTGCAGAACTCTCATCTTTGACTTGAAGAGGTTTTCTAAATGAATTAATCTTAGACTGAACAATTTGGCCACGATAACATCCAAGTACAGGTTTCTTGGGCATGCTAGCATCTTGCTTTGGTTTGTCTGCAGCCACTTGTTTGTTTTTATTACTGTGTTTAAAGTGAAATGCTTGGCTTAATGTCATAGTTTGACTTAGGGAATTATCTTTAATTGGTAACAACTTTTGATTATCATCCTCAAAATTATGTGTTTCAATTGTTGTAGTTGAATTTGTTAATTCATTGGGTGGTTTTAGAGCAACACAATGTTTCTCCACTGGGTTATGTTTGTCCTCTGTAATTCTTTTGATATTTTCTTTGTCATCCTAAGAGAGTCATTTAATACAAATCAGTATTTGAGAACTCATTTCTTTCAGAAAGAATATATGAAAGGGAAAGAGGAGAAAGTGCAAGTTAATGAGTACAATGTCCCTATCTTACCATTTTTGCTTTAAGTTTCAGAACTTTTGTTTCTTCTTGAATGCGGTCCTCAGGTGTCATCACTCTCTGACCTGTAGAACTAAAAAATGAATTAAAAATACATTGGTCCTGTACTAAGAAGGTTAGGAGGGGGTGTATAACAACTAATTTCCTTTATTTCACCTGGCTTCACTCTGTTCTCAGTACTCTCCAACATGTCAGTTTCTAGAACTCAGTTCAGTGGTCATGTCATCAGCAGCAGTCAGGGACCACAGTTACAGTACCAGGGCCTCTCTAAACCTCCCTCCAGCCTAGGGACTTGCTTTTTGTCCCTCCTTCCTCATGTTCCCCTGGCCTCAGTTCATTGTTACAATCCTCTTAGAGTCAGGCAAGCAGCATAGGCCACATGGAGCCTGATCACAGAAAGAAAATACTGCAGGTTCACCCAGGTCTGCAACAGAGACTGGGAGCATTCTTCCCTTCTAAGCTTTCTGTATTCAGTTTTTAAACCTTTAAATTTGTGTATGTTTGTCTATGTTAGGCTAAGGATCAACTCAAGGCAGACTGCATGCTAAGCAAATGTAGTAGGACTTGAGATTTAGAGCTTTAATTATTAGTGTGATTTAGTAGTACAAACAAGATGGCTGAGAAAATTAAACACATTCTCTTAAATCTTAATACCACCTCCCATAGATTATGTTATCCTAAACTCCTTTTTGCAGCTACAGGCCATGATGATCTTTTAACAGGTGAGTACAATAATTTTGTGTTAAATTATGAGGGGAAAAATATCAATTAGACAAGCCACTGATTCTAAATCAGAGTCCCAAGTTCAGCAATTATGTTAAAATGTGAAGAAAAAAATTATACATTAGAATTGATGAAATGTTACTTTTAACAAAACTTTTCATTGGTAACAACTAGAATGTGACTATTATCCTCAAAATATGTTTCAATTGCTATAGTTATATTAATTTATTAAAAGATTTTGAAGGAATATAATTTTATGCATTTCACTAATGTTATTTATATTGCCTTTCACATTCTATTTGTTCAGTCAGACTGGAGAAAGGGCAAGATTTTGTCATGGCTTGTATTATACTTTTTTTTTCTGGAAAAGTATTAAAGCATTCACATTCACCATTTTTATTCAAAGTTCTGGACAAATGGAGAAAATGGGAGTTTTGATCATAGTTTTATTTAATATAATTTTATTGTTATTATTAAGGAGTTATACAGGAGCGTTACAATTCCATAAGTCATTTTAAATTCATAGAACATTTTAAATAATAATTGCTGACCACTCTTAGGATGCAAAAGAAACTGAAACAATGTGTTCAGTGGCAAAATCCAGAGTCAAGGGAACTTCTGACTTTCCACTTCATATACTTTTGTGATATTTGTGTTTTTCTCATAGCCACTTAATAAAATAATACAAAAGTATTTCTATAGAAAGCTGAACAAAAAATAAAAATAAAAATAAAAAACAAAATTAATAATAGCCTCCAAATCTCTTAAAGTATCTGGGAGGGCCACCTGCCCTCTCTAAATAAAAACTCACTTCGTACACTGAGTAAAAGCCCTGATAAGATTCTGGGAGTAGAGGTTAGTATGTGTAGTTGGCATACAGGAGGTTCTGGTTCAATCCATAGTACCAAAAATAACCTCCCAAACCAAACCAAACCAAACCAAACTAAACCAAATGCCTTAATAAATTCTAGAAAGAGTGACTTTTAGCAGGGTGTAGTAGCATATATTATCCCAGTACTAGGAGCAGAAGGATTTTAAGTTTCTAAAAAGAGGCTGACCTGTACAATATAGCTTACACTACAAGATCTCAGCATATATACACATATTCCATCAAAATTAATTCTCTAAAGGGTGTGAATTTGCATAGAAATTATGATCATTCGAGAAAGTAGCTACTAACATATATAACTAGCACAAAATGATATGCTGAAAGTATGATACACCAGATTTGGAAGACTTTGCACCAAAAAAGATGTAAAGTATCTTAAATCTGTGTACATGTGTATATGTTGCTGAAGATTAAACCCAGAGCTTTCCCAAGATAGGCAAACAGGCTACCACTGAGCTACATCTCATCCTTTCTTATTACCTTTTCATATCACATATCAACATCAGGAATACAACTGTGTTAAATAAAATGTTGTAAAAATTTATTTTTATCTTTTAAAAACTTCTTAAATGCAGTAACAGAAAAATTTGACAACTACAGATGTAGAATGCATTGTTTTTATTGGAGAGCTCTAATTTTGTGTGTGTGTATATGAATGAACTCAGGGTTTGGATGCTGCCTCTCAGCTTTTTTGTTCAAGACTAATACTCTTTCTCATTTGAACCACAATTCTACTTCAGTTTTTTGCTAGTTAATTGGAGGTAGGAATCACATGGACTTTGCTGCCTGGGCCGGCTTTGAATGTTGATTCTCAGATTTCAGCCTTCTGCATAGCTAAGATTATAGGCATGAACCATCTACCTGTGCCCTGCTCAAATATAATCTTCCTGGACTGAATTAACTTGACCTTACCTGGATGTCTTATTTTCCTGTTTGTATGAAAACATTGTTTTCCGTCTTAACAAATGTTCTGCAAGTTTTTGTCTTCTTTGCTCTAATAAAAGGAAAGAACAAGAAGTTAACATTAGTTAAAACATCAAATGATAGCAAATAAACATGGCTGACTAAATGATTTCACTTCAAAATTTTTCTTCTTCTATAGAATAGGGATTTTTCCAGTTCAGTATTGCCTTCGAGAAATCATCCCATAATAGGCTGGGCCCCCAGTGGCTCACACCTGTAATCCTAGCTACTCAGGAGGCTGAAATCTGAGGATCACAGTTCAGAGTCAGCCTGGACAGGAAAAGTCCATGAGACTCTTATCTCCAATAAACTACTAGAAAACTGGAAGTACCACTATGGCTCAAGTGGTAAAGCACTGGCCTTGAGCTGAAGCGTGCAGGGATAGTGCCTACGCCCAGAGTTCAAACACCATGACGACAAAAAAAAAAAAAGAAAAAAAGAAAAGAAAAAGAAATCATCCCATAAAAAGTTCCTGAGACTACTCATGACATAATGATATTTTCAGGCCTGATAGCTCCATCTGTAATCCTAGCCACTCAGGAGGCCCAACCCTCAGAACCTAGCTGGGAGCCTTCACTGGCAAACAAATCCATGTAATTGTTATTTCCAGTTAATCAGCAAAAAGGAACTGGATGCCTGGCTCAAGTTTAAGACAGGAGCCACTGGATGAAAAATTGTGTGTGTGTGTGTGTGTGCGTGAAAGAGAAAGAGAACACGAGAGAGAGAAAGAAAGAAAGAAAGAAAGAAGGAAGGAAGGAAGGAAGAAAGAAAGAGAGAGAGAGAGAGAAGGGCAGAAGGAGGTGGGATGATATAGGAGGAGAGGGAGAGGGATGCAGAGTTCAAGCCTTGGTCCTGTCACAAACACATAAAGAATCACACTATCCATTGCATGTGAAAAAATCTGGAGAACATCATTTCAACATACAGCTAGGGAAAGCCAAGATTTTAAGAAAATCAATGGTAGAGATTAGATACTACTCTTTTAGTTCTAACTGGGTTGGGTTAGTGTTAGGATCCTTCTGGGCCATCTCTGGGGACCACGCGGAGGCAGGCACAGGAGAAAGATTATTATAAGGTTTATTAGAGGGGCAGTATCTCCCCCGGTGGGGAGTATGCGAATATAATTATTGTAATGTTATTACACGAACAGTGAGAATCTTTGTTTTTCAGGTAAAGAACAACCTTAATATTGCTGTAAACCATCTGGTTATAGGTTTTCAGAAAGTCAAGACAAAAATATTTCCCCCCCCACTGAAAACGTCCGATTAGGCAACGCCCCCTGCCCCGCCGCGCCCTTCTGGCCGCCTGAAATTCACGTGGGAACCCGGCGGCCTCGGGGCTCTGCGCAGGCGCAGTGGGTCCGGGCGCTCGCAGCCCCGCCTCCGCGGACCCCGGCCCACACAACGGGGCTGGCGGGCGGGAGCCACGCAAACGCCTTCGGTAAACGGATCTCCTTTCTCAGTAGACCCGTCTCTGCGGCAGCGCCACAGCAGTCACTGAACCGGCACACCACCATCCCCACCGCGCTCCGTGGTTCGCACACGCCGCGCCGCACGTGTCAGGAACGCGGGACGGGGGCGGGGGCGAGGTGACGGAGTGGAGGGGGCGAGGGAGGAGGGTGTCAGCCGACTCAAGGCCGCGTTCCCTCAACCCCGCCGGCCCGCCCGCTGCGCCCGCCACCGCTGCTCACCTCGGAACGCAGACTGGGCTCTCTGAGTAGCGGGCAGCTGCAGGTTCCGGGGTACCGTCGGGGTAGTCATTGCAGCCTGAAGTCCACGGATGCGTCGCCCTCGACCCGAAGCGCTTCTCACGCGCCACGTCCGGCCGCCGCAGCCTCACTCTGCACTGGCCGCGGGCTCTGCCTTTTGACAGCGCCGCCACCACCGCCCATTGGTGCCGGCGTGAATTAAACGCGCCAATGGGAATCGAGGGGCGGGCTTGCTCTGCAGTTGGGAGGGGCGGGGCTGGAGCCTGCGGGGTTTCAGTTAGGGCTGTGTCTGCAGGTTTCAAACTCAGGGAAAAGAATGCTGTTTACCCTCCACGCGCCACGGAGGCGGGGCTTGATAAATCTCCCCGCCGTCTCGGCATCTGGGTTGATCTGAATAAACAGCATTGAAGAGGAGAGAGCGCTGGATTCCCGCGACAAGAACACTTAATTCGCAAATATCACTGGATTCTGAGCTTCGTAACTCTGAAACCTGTCGCCAACCTCATTTCAGTAGGCTTGAGAGGCCACCAGCTTGTATGTCCACGTTTGCACTGAAATTGAAACCTACTTTCTCATGTATTACCCTACCTCTTTCTCCAGAAAGGACCTTGCTCTATCTTGGGCTGGCCTCACACTCTGGCTTACACAGCACTGAGATTACAGGTGTGCACCACCATATTTGGCCCTTCCCTTGCCTTTATGCTACATAAGTATCAGATGCAAACACAGAGAAGAGAAGGGAATAAATGAGGATAGCTCTTCCTCCCCACAAGGTTGCCTTTCATTCTCCTGGGACGATGAAGGGCTTATTAGGTATTTTGTGTGTTTATACATTTAAGTGTGTGCTACCACAATCATTCAGTCCTATTTATCCCAAGATATCACCTAGCTAACTAAAACCCATACAAATATCTAGTCTACAATATGTAATTACATAATTCAGAGCCAGGAGGTTTTAGGGGCAGGTGTGGAGAATATGTCTTTCTGGTCTGAAGCTTGGAATTTACAGTTAGCCTGCATTGGACCTCCCTCCCATCTAGTTTGAAATGAGGGAGTGAAGCAGGAAGATTTTTTTTTTTTTTTTTGCCTTCTCCTGCTGAGTGTGAAGGCCTCCACAGCTAGCACTCATTGCAGCCAGTTTTTCTCACTTTTTCTACTCCCCCCCTCCCCCCAGACAGTACCTGGGCTTGAACTCATGGACTTGTGCTTATACTCTCACTTGGCTTTGTCCACTCAAGGCTGGTGCTCTACCCTTGAGTCATGCCTCTAGCTTAGCTTTTTTGCTGAGTAATTAGAAACGGAGTATGGAAGACTTCTCTGCTCAGGCTGGCTTCAAACTGTCTCAGCCTCCTGAATAGCTAGGATTACAGGAGGCTTCTAAAGAGATCTTGTTAATAAGAACTGGTTTGGGGATCTTTGGGGGAGGGTTCCTTTTTATTTGATAAAACAATCAAGTTTTAGGATAACATTGCCAACATTGGGAGAAGCAGCCAACAATCATGCCTCAGTCTCTTTGCCTTAGTGCCAGCCCTGTAGAACTTAAGGGGGGGGGGGGGAGAATGTTTCTCTTATTGGCAGAAGAGAAGGAGTGGAATACTTAGACCCATCATAGGTACTCAATAAGGTTTCTGAATACTTGTCAAATGAATGAGTAGACTGAGAACCCAGAGGCCTCAGAGGTTCTCAATTTATTGACTCAATTATTTCTAGGATCCTGGGGAGATCCTGCCAAGTGAGATTCTAATAGGCTGATATACCTTAATACAGGGTATCTCACACAGATACATATGTGCCAAAGCTATCCTAAGACACTTAAGAAACAGCTTACTGAAGACAGAAGGCAATGCTTGTTGAGAATGTGCAAGGCTCTGGATTTGATCCCCAGAATGAGGATGGGGGGCAGGTGACTCACCTGTAATCCTAGCAACTGAGGAGGTAGATATTGCGAGGGTTATAGTTCAAGGCTGGCCTGGGCAAAATGTTATCAGAGCCCATTTCAACCAATAAAAATCTGGGCATGAACTGGTAAAATAAGTCCCCAGTGTGTAGTATGCTCTAACAAGATAACCCTAAAGGAAAACTATGTTAGTTGTAGGACAAACATAGGTTGTCCATTTATGATGAAAAATATATAAATGAAATGAAAGGGCCAGCAGCCTTGGACAGTTTGCATAGGCCAGTCAATAGGTAATTATAGATCTCTATTGACATATTCTCTACAGCAAATTCATATTAAGTACAAATATTACACTTATATTTATATTAGTTATAACAAGTAAATGAACATGATAAAATATGAGTTCAATATTGAAATTGTCACTGGATGGAGGTGAGGTTTAGTGAAGCTTCCCTTTAAGTATAGGAACTCTTCACTTAGGGTCTTTGACTTTGATGACAGAATAAGAATTTCTGGATAAGTCACAATGGTAAGAAAATTGGCAGAGTTTTTTTTTTGAGTAAGTAAACAAGCAGGCAAGCAGACAGACACAAAAGCAGACAAACAGAAGGGCAGAGTGTGGATGCTCTCATAGGGACATAGAAACACAGACACAGACACAGACACAGACACACACACAGACACACACACCGACACACACACACACACACAGAAAGAGAGACAGACAAATATGCACATAAGGAGATACCCAGAGAGACACACAGCTCCTTGGGCAGCTGGGGTATTTATAAGGTAAAGGGGGTCTGGCTTCAAGTTATGTTAAGTGCTTTTTTTTTTTTTTTTTGGTCATGGGTGCTGTCCCTGAGCTCTACAGCTCAAGGTGAGTGTTCTATCACTTAAGCCATAGTGTCACTTCCAGTTTTCTGGTGGTTAATTAGAGATGAGAGTGTTAAGGACTTTCCTGCCTGGGCTGGCCTGAACCATGATCCTCAAATCTCAGCCTTCTGAGTAGCTATGATTACAGGTGTGAGCCAATGGTGCCTGGTAAAAGAAGTGCTTTGTCTTTGCTTTGCTTTGTTATTCTCTGAGTTTCCAGGTAAGAATGCATCTTGCATTTTGTTATTTCCCTTCTCCTCCCCAAATTAGAAAAATGTATATACAAGATGCAGGGCACCAGAATCAAAGACAGTGAAAGCAAGGGTTATACCATGGGGAAAGAACATACAAAAGAAACAAAAATCACATAATACATTATAAATACGTTAACAGCAAAAAAGAAAAAAACCACTTGTGTCTCTATCTTGGGATTCATTTTGCTTAACATCATCTTATTTGGTCATATGTACATAGCTTTTGACCTTTTCTGCTTGTCCTAGACATTTACTAGTTAGTGCAAATAAGGGAAACCATGGGATTTATGTTTCTTTGGGCCTGGCTTATTTCACTTAATATAATTTTTTCTAAGTCTTTCCATTTCCTAACAAATGGGGCAATGTCATTTGTTCGGATGGAAGCATAGAATTCCATAAGGTATAGGTTTATCCATTGTAACAATGAGCTGTACAAGACACTATGTTGCAAACAAACTTTAAAACTGGGGGGGGGGGGGGAGGAGTTGGGGAGGTGAGGAGGGAAGGGATGGTAGGGGAAAAACAAAGGAGGAGGTAACAATGCTTGATAGGAAATGTACTCATTACCTTACTCATGTAACTGTAACCCCTCTGTACAGTATTTTTACAATAAAAACATATATAAAAATATCCCCTTTAGATATGAATATTTGATCCACTGGAAAAGACTACAGTTGATTACTCTTTTCAAAAAAGAAGAAGAATGCATCTTGCTAGCGGGGTGCTGGAGGCTCATGCCTGTATTCAATCCTAGATATTTAGGAGGCTGAGATCTGAGAATTGCAGTTCAAAGCTAGCTGGGTAGGAAAGTCCTTGAGACTCTAATCTCCACTTAACCACCAGAAAACTGAAAGTAATGTTGTCGCTCAAATGGTAAAGCACTCATCTTGAGCTGAAGATCTCAGGGACAGCTCCCAGGCCTAGAGTTCAAGACCCTCTACCAAAAAAAAAAAAAAAAGCATCTTGTCATAAAGCAGATTGTAATACCTGAGTTACTATTCACTGGCAGAAACTTCCTCCTATTGACTGGCCTCAGTCCCTCCTGCTGTTGGAATTTTACTCTCTTCCCTGAACCGCCTTTTCCCTGGGAAAAGAAATATGCATGGGAATAAAAATGTGAAATCAGAAAACAGAACGAAGTTTTTGATTAAGGGCAAAAACCTGTTGGTAAAGAAAAACTCCAGATAAAGGCTGACAGCCTTTGTCCCTTATCCATCCTTGCTAAAAAGCAAAAAAACCGAAACAACACAAAAACCCAACTTTCCCTCACTCAAGTTTACCAAGCTGTCAGTAACTCAGTATTGAACAGTAACTCAGATATTACACAGATCCTTCTCTTTGAGCTAGGAGGTGTCCTGCTATCTGCATTTTGGGCACCCTGTCAGACAATTGTTAATCCTTGGGTGAGAAATGCATCCTTCCCCTGTTGTCTTTCTCTGAAACAAAAGATAGCATTTCTAAGTGTTTTTTTTCTTTTCTCTTTTCTTTTCTTTCTTTCCTTCCTTCCTTCCTTTCTTTCTTTCTAGATTTCTTAGTTTCTAAATACCATATTTCTGAATTGCCTTCACCAGGCCTCAGTTTCCTTAAGTTATCCTGTTTCATTTTCCCCTAAAATGACTTTTGTTCCCTTAATCTTAAGGGAAATACATGAAGGAATATCTACTATATTTGCTGGAAGCTGACCATACATCACTTCCCCCTGGCTATCTGGCTTCAAAATCACGTATAATTGATACGAGGTATCAATATAACACACATGATGTACCATATATTTATCACAGCCTATTAAATTGAAGAAAAAAATAATCTTAAGAGGGCTGGGAAAGTGGCTCAGAGGTAGAGTACTTGCCTTGCATGCATGAGGGCCTGGGTTCAATTCCTCAGCAACACATAAGCAGGAAAAAGCTGTAAGCCGGAAGTGGCACCGTTGCTCAAGTAGTAGGGCGCTAGGCTTGAGCTGAAGAGTTGAGAGGCAGCGCCCAGGCCTAGAGTTCCAACCTCCACGACCAGCAAAAATAAATAATCTTAAGAAAGAAAACAGATGAGTTTAAGGTACTACCTACCATGCTGACTACAGGTGTCAAAAATCAATTCCTGTCAAAAAAAAAATGATGGCTACTCTTTGCAGCCTTTAATGACGGTGGCCATGTGCTGGACACCGAATGACAAGGAAACTGTCAGATTTGATGCCTTTCAAGTATCATAGGGATGCCCACGCTTACGCCCACTTTCTTTGAGTTTGGGATGGGTCCTCAGCCCCGCCAAGGTTCTGAAAGGCCATATGTGGGCCAGGGGCGTTCCTTGTACGCCCTTTACTCCCCCCCTCCAAGCCTCGCCTACTCCCCAGGGTGCGCAGGACCTGGGGCTTCCAACCTTCCTCCTCCCTCCACCCTCCTCCCTTCTCCCCCCCCCCCCCCCACCTCCCCGCCTCCCTCCTTGCTCCGTTCCGGCCTTTGTCCCGCCCGCCGCCAGGGGGCGCCGCAGGCTGCCTAGCGCGCGGCTCGCGGCCCGGGAGCGCCGGCGCGGGAGAGCGGCGGAGGCCGGCCGGCGGCGGCCATGGACCGCTTCGTGTGGACCAGCGGTCTCCTGGAGATCAACGAGACCCTGGTGATCCAGCAGCGCGGGGTGCGCATCTACGACGGCGAGGAGAAGGTAGGGCGGCGGTCCCCCCGGGCCGGGCGCAGATCCCGGGCCTCGAGGTGTGGGGTGCAGGCTGTGTCCCCCCGCGCCGGCCGCGGCCTGGGGCGCTCGCTCGGGCGCCTCCCCCGCGCCGTCAGCGCCCAACTTTGGAGTGGTTTCCGGTCGGCACGGTCGCCGCCGCTCGCCTCGCCCTCCCATCCCCCCCCTCCCCGCGGTCATCTTTAGGGGTGCCCCGTCCCTGTGCTCCCTGAGAGCCCCCTGAGGTCATCTGCGGGCGGCGGGCAGGGACGGGGGCGTTGGAGCTTCGGAGTCAGAGCCCTAATGACACTGGGTATCGGGCGTAAATCGTGGGGACGACCCAGCTCCTCCCTGTCAGGTACTAGGGGTACTCACTCCCCAGCCCCGATCCTCAGCTCTGCGTCAGGCCAACAGAATGGAGGCTTGCTGGAACGGATTTCCTGGGTTTTCCTCTCGGCCATGCTTCTCTTGTTTGTTCTTTTGGTTTTGTATTTGTTTTGTCATTACTCTAGGAGTTTGGGGCTTACGTTTTGCAAAGAGATGCGTGTCTTGCCTTGCAAGGCAGGCATAAATCTCAGGACATGGCTCTCAAACGGAAGAAAAGTATAGCATGGAAGTACGTATTTTGTGGATAGCCGAAGCTACAACACTTTTCTGGATGGTATGGACAAATCACAAGTAGAAAAAAAAATTGTTTTAAGTCTTTAACCCCTAAGTTAGCACTCGGTGACCCTGATGTATTTTCAGTCTCCAGACCCTTTCAGCTACTACCTGTCCTTCCTTGCCATTTTAATGAACTTCCTTCTGTAACGCATGTTGGTATAATTTCATTGACCCCCTGGCTTTTCCTGGTCATGCTTCTAGAATTTTAAGACTTGGGACCTGGGTCTCCTGACTTCTTCTGTAGGGTATTTTGGTGGACAGTTACAGCTGTGATTGTGTTGAAGTTTCTTCCTTAAATAATTGGCTGGACTTAGTCCATTTACTCACTGCCTTGACACTTTTATTCATTTAAATCCAGATTGAATCCTATGTCTGTTTTTTTTTTTGTTTTGTCTTGTTTTTGTTTGTTTATGTTATTTTAGACTTGGTCTCCAGGCCCAGGCTGGTCTTAAATCTTCCTACCTTAACTTCCTCAGTGCTGAGATTACAGTTATGTGTCTACACACCTGGCCTTGCATCTTTTTATTGGAGGACAAGCTAAATTTACTCACTTTTCTTCCTTACCAAGTTTACATCTTCAGAACCATTTTAAATGGGAAATTTAATCAACCTCCCTGGTGAGTTTTGATTCTGCTCCCACTTTAAAAAACAACAACAACAAAACAACAATAGAGATAGGGCCTCAGAGACTTCTCCAATGCTGTTCCCCAAAGAAGCGCCTAGAATCCATGTCCTTGCAGAGCTCTCCACCTTGTTGTTTCTGGGAGTATCTTTGCTGGCCAGTACCTTTGTTTCCCACAAAATAAAAATCACTAATACAAGTACCTGTATGTGGGAAACTGTTGTTGAACCAGAACATTCTCATTTTTTCCTTTGAAGCTTTTATGAAATGTTGTAGCAGACAGAAGAAAAGTCTCATGGGAAAAAGTCTTGACTGCTGGTCCTTTTGTAACCTTTCAATGAATCCAAGTCAGAAAAAAGACATAATTAATCCCTAACTTCCTGACCCTTGCACCAAATATGTTAACAGAAAGTTTAACCTCAGTCCTTGTGTCTGGCAAGAGAATAATTCAGACAAGGCATAGAGATAAATAAAGATGATAGAAAAATTTATTAGAGAAAACAAATAATAGCAGAGAAAAGGCTTCTGGCATAGACCTGCCAGGAGAAGACAGCCTTTCAGCCCATCTCTCCCATCTTGGCTGTCTTCTTAGTGCAGAGGTTGGCCTTGGGATAAATTGGGAGAATTGATTGATTTTCTGATTGGAGGGCCTCCTTTTGGTTTTCTGTTAGGTTGTGATGCCAAAGATGACAGTCTCAACTTTATTTTCTCATTTTCTGTCCTGTCTTCCTCATTCTCCCTGCCCCCATTTCACTGGCTGGTTTGGGTTTATCAGTTTATCCTGCCATCTGCAAGCTATATTGGCCATTTAATCCCTGTTTGGCTGCTGTTCAGCTAACTCGTGTCATTTTGATGTAGTCAAAAACTTTTAACTCTCCTTTTTTTTTTTTTGGTCAGTTGTGGGTCTTGAACTATGGGCCTGGGCACTGTCCCTGAGCTCTTCAGCTCAAGATGAATGCTCTACCACTTGAGCCACAATGCTACTTCCTGTTTTCTGGTGGTTAATTGGAGATGAGAGTCTCATGGACATTCCTGCTGGGGCTGGTTTTGAACTGAAATCCTCAGATCCTCAGCCTCCTGAGTATCTTGGATACCCAGCTAAGAACTTTTAACTCTTCTGAAGAAGTGGTGCTGTGGTTCAAAGTGGTAGAATACTAGCCTTGAGCAAAAGAGCTTAGGGGCAGTACTCAGGCTCTGAGTTCAAGTCCCACGACTGGCCCCCCAAAAGATGTTCTAAACTAGAGGCTATGAGGGTAAGTGTCTTAACAGTAAAGTGCCACTCTAAAGTGAGCTTCCCTACCCCTGTGCTGGAGACTAGGCTCACTCTGTCACTTGTTGAATGTCTGGAGTTATCTGCATGGCTCCTGGTGTGACTTATGGCCAGAATAGTTCCAGGGCAAAGTGCTGGGTCCTGGAAGATTCTAGAAGGTTCTGGTGCTGAAGACTAGGTGGTGCTCATCAGCCTCCAGATGTTGTCAGGTTAGACTCCAATTCAGAACCAGTCTTTAAGTGGCTCCCTCAGCCTTGGAACTACAGTCCAGACAGCTAGGTCCTTACAGCTGTGCATGTAGCACATACTCTGGCAAGCACGCACATACATCAGTTGTATGCTCCTGGAGAGCAGTGTGTGTGCCTTCATCACATCCTTGTGTCTTCTGGCTCACCGTGAGTGTGAAATCCATTTTAAAAAAGAAATTGGGGGGTGGGGAGGGCTGGGAAGGTGGCTCAGTGGTAGAGTGCTTGCCTTGCATGCATGAGCCCCTGGGTTCGATTCCTCAGCACCACACAAGCAGAAAAAGCCAGAAGTGGCACTATGGCTCAAGTGGTAGAGCGCTAGCGTTGAGCTGAAGAGCTGAGGGACAGCGCCCAGGCCCAGAATTCAGGTCCCATGACTGACCAAAAAAAAAAAAAAGAAAGAAAAAAGAAATCAGAGGCATGCATGCTAACTCAAATCTGTAGTTACTTTGGAGGTGGAGATCAGGGAATCCAGTTTCAAGGCCAGCCCCAGCGTAGAAGTTTGAGAGGTTTCATCTAAACCAATGTCTACTTACAGTGGCATATGTCTGACAGACAGTGGCTGGTCACAGTAATGTGCACTTACCATTCTCAGTGACACAGGGAGGCACAAGTAGGAGGATCAAAGTCCAGACTGGTCCAGGCATAAAATGAGATCCTACCTTATAAATAATCAAGAAAAAAAAGGATTAGATATGTGGCTCAAGTAGTAGTACATGAAAGAAAGACGAAAGGAAGAGAAAAAGAAAGAAAGAAAGAAGGAAAGAAAGGAAGGAAGGAAGGAAGAAAGAGAAGAAGGAAAGAAGGAAGAAAAAGAAAGAAAATGATGCTGGGTACCGGTGGCTCATGCCTGTAATCTTAGCTACTCAGGAGGCTGAGATCTGAGGATCACGGTTCAAAGCCAGCTCTGGCAGAAAAGTCTGTGAGACTCTTATCTCCAATTAACCACCAGAAAACTGGAAGTGGTGCTGTGGCTCAAGTGGTACAGCGCTCGCCTTGAGCTGAAGAGTGCAGGGATAGTATCCTAGTCCAGAGTTCAAGCCTCATGACTGACCAAAAAAAAGAAGAAGAAGAAAGAAAGAAAGAAAAAGAAAAAAAACTCAGAATAGGTAAAGTGTCTATTCTATGCCAGGAGCTTTATATGCCTTGATGTGTGTATGTGTGTGTATGTAACATGTCTTAAGGTTTCACTCTTTTCAACAGGTAAATGACTATTTTACTGAAAGAGAAAATAACAGTCACCTACAGTGACTTGCCTGAGCTCAGTTAGCAAGAGAGGCATGGTTTAAATCCCTATTGATGAGCCTGCACTTGTTTTACTGTATAGTACTTCCCAGTGCCAGACTCTTTACATGATGTTCATATAGTTGATCCTCCTAAAACCTAATGAAATGGAGACCCACAGTTGATAATTGCGCAAGTTGGAGCTGTCCTAGGTCATCCATCCAGTCACTGATGAGCTAGAATTCCAAGCCAGGTGCAGCAAACTGCACCTCTGGTGAATCAGTGTGTGCTGGCTTGTTTATACAGGCAGTTCTCGTGGGCCCAGTATATGTGGATAATGTGGTGTTTTCATAAGCAGTGTAGACAGGTCATTTGTTTGAATTCATAGATGATTCTTTTGTAGCCTCAGCTCATTTTAAAACAACAATGCATGGAGATTAATAATATGTAAGGTGGTGAGTTGGCAGTGCATACCAGAGGATTTACAAGGTGTTTATTCTCTTTCAGCTAACGATTTCACTTTTAGGAATTTAGTCTTGGGAAATAATCAGGGAGGCATAAGAATATGAAGATTTCCATCTCAGTGTTATAGGTACTATATTATTAAATACTGGAAAAATTAAAACAATTGGAATGTCTACTATAGAGATTAAACTACAGCACTCCCTACTTTGCAGAAGGATTGCTAACTCTAGCTTGCTGAGCAAAAAGAGTTATAACACCATAAATAACATGGCCTCACTTTCAAAGCTTATACATATATGTATGTGGATCCTCTGACTGGTAGAGTTATGAATGATTTCATTTTCTTCTTAGATTTTAAATATGTCTTAAGAGTTCTCAAGAGTGAGTTAAGTTATATTTTTATAACAACACTATGCTTAAAAAGAAGGAAGGAAAGAAGGAAGAAAGCGGGTAAGAGCTTGGACAGTTGCCTAAATCTGATTAACTTTTAAACAGTTGAAAAGAC